TCCAGACCAAAGATTTAGGATTTAAGAAAAACACTTCAAAAGCCACGAAGAATGACTGTTTTTGCTTCAGGTTAATCTTGTGTTAACGTGAATTGAGATCATTTTTCTGTTAAAAGACCTAGAAAAGATCTGGTACATTTTTTTGGCATAGGCTGTCGTATGATTCTAAATCTGGTATTTAGAATAACTCCTCTTCAGTCTGACAAGCTTTGCAGTGTTTCTGAAAATTTTTTTTCCAGCTTACCAAACAAAGGGCATGAGGGATTTAGCATATCCTGTTATTGCAAAAAAAGAAAATTAAAAACAATCCACTGGACTTTGTTTCCAAGTTTGAAGACGTTTTGCTTCCCATCCAAGAAGCTTTTTCAATTCAAAATGTCAGGAATAGTGTGGAGTTTGAGGTTTTATACAATAGCCCAAAAAAGCCTTGTTTTTGTGTTGAAAACATGCAAAGTGAAACGGCCGAAGCGGTCCACCACTTTGGAATGGGGGTCGTTTGGCTTCTTTTGTGAGCCTGCTATGCCCCATACCTGTCTAAGTATCTAAAAGGTCGGTCGTTAAAGGGAATTGTTGGCCTGGCTGAATGGGCGAGGCCCTCTGCTCATTCATGTGTTGTGTGTATAAACTTATCTTAACACCTGTCTGACCAATGCAGACATCTAACCAGCATAATGGTAACCTAAAGATGCTATTGTTGGTGCAGTTCACTCTGATCTTTGGACCTTTTGTATGATGCTAATCACTGGGTCTGCCCGTGGTAAGACTCTTTTTGCCAAAATAATTCACTCAACTGCCTTGGTTTGTATATGAACTAAAGTAACATCCTATCCTTAATCCACAGGGTTCATTCTGACATTGTTCCATCCATGCAGCTATACTAGCTTGAACTCATCTAAGAAGGATTTAGGAGTGTCCATGGGGAGATTTGGACATTCTTCCTTTCAAGCACTTTGTGTGCTCATAGACTGATCCTGGATGAAAAGAGGCATCCTTTCTCTCAGTCACCTCAGAGATATTCCATTGGGTTAAAGTCAGAATCCTGTGCAGGTGAGTCAAGGTCATCCATACGAAATTCTTCCATGCAATCTCTGCACACTATGAGATTCAGGATCTGCTGCCCCCCTTTGACAGTTTACACGGCCTACCACTTTGTGGCTTTCATTCCCAATCAACTGCACTTTGTTATTCCTTTGACAGATGACTATTTAGCACTGATAACATTTTATGACAAGTAGCATTTTTCTTTTTTTTTCACAAAATATTTGTAGAATGTTTTTATGCCAGGATGCTTTATTCTATACATTCCTGGCTATGAAAGTGTTGGAAAAACTCCATTTCAGTTATTTGGATAGGAGGCAACTACCTAATAATATAAAGTTTCTATCCATCCTCATTTAGAATTTAGGACAGTGGATAAAAAAAAAAAAAGATTAAAAATAAGACCTTAATGTCAATCTCTTTTTCTTGGTCAAAATAAAAGGGATTCTGAAAAGATTAAACATTGCTGGATGAGCCAATTAACATAAAAATAATGCTTATTTTTAAATGAGTTTGATCAAACCTTATTTAAAATAATTGAATATAGCAATACTTCCTATGGGTATCAAAAACAGTCCTGAATCGCTCTTTTTAAATAAGTTAGTGTGAGATTATATTACTGCAGCAAAAGAGGAATTCATTCTAATGCAATTTGCTGAATTTTACCAGGAAAACCAAAGGTCTGTATGCAGCTTGCTCACATTAAATGGTCCTATCATACAGCTCTTTAAGACATAAGAACTATGCTTTACATAGAGGTGAACAACAAGGCTATTGGCATACTTTTTTTTACTTCAAAGTGTTTCCAAGGAAGATTTTGATATACAGTTTTTAACTCCTTTATTGTGAATTTTCATTTACCACACAACACTCACAACGGGATCAGAACACCTTTTTACACCAATCACTTCAGATACACTTTTTGTCTTAAAAGCTACCAAGAAAATAAGGCCACTCCACATTTATTGGTATTGATAGTTCAGAAGGAGATGGTGTTTGATTGTGTTTCTGCAATGGTAGACTGAACAATACAGACTAAAAGGTCCTCAAACATTACGCGACACTGAAACCACAGGTACAGAAGGCATAAATCTGCCAACACACAATAGGAACACATTCATAGCGAAATTATCCTGAATTTTCAGCAGCTTTGATGACATCATTTAAAGTTAAAATGAAGACAGTAATACTTCCCAAATATCCTCATTTCACTCCAGCCTCTCCAAATTAGCCTCTAGTACATGACTGCGTATGCTGCAAGGTTTCTAATTTGGGACAATTTCACATCACTGCTTTCCTAAATGAAATTGAACACTCTGATTAAGTCTTGATGGTTCATTGGTCAACAGCGCATTTCCATTACTTCAGATTTAATACAGTTAGATTGCCTGTTACAGAGGAACAAGTCTAAGGTTCTACCAGTAGATGGCGATGTGACATTACTTTGCAAAGAAAGTCTTCCTCCCTCCCTTCATTTTCCTTTAGTTTATCACTTTTTCTCCTCTTCCTTCTTATGCCTTTGTTCCCATCTCTTGCTCCTTCGTCTGCAGTGTTTGTGTTCCTTCTTCTCGTTTCAGCATCAGCCCATCCTCATTTCCACACTCCTCGCACTACCAACCCTAACCACCATCACTCCACTGTGCTGTCCTTTCCTCTACTGAGCCGCCACAGCCTGAGTTTCTCCTCCAGAGGTCAGAAGCTGCATCAAGCTCCCTGAAGTGGGTCGGTTCTCCCCTGTGGCCCAGCCAAAGAACATTCTACGAAGAAAAAAAAAAAAAAAAGGAAATAATTTTTTTATGGGTTTATTGGAGCAGTTACAGCACTACAACAATTCACAATTCATACTTTCAATCCTGTTAGTTTATTAGTGTTTTATCAAGCATCCTCCACTAGACATTAAAGGTTTCTGGACAGTTGGACAAAATACATTAATTAGATAGCTCTTTAGCAAATATCCATGAACATGTGCATAAAACAAAAGTTGCATTTTCTAAATGTAAAGTAAAAAAAGAAAACACAAATAAAGCTTCATTGGAGCTGATTCTACTTGTGAAAAGGTTTTTTACATGGTTGGTTCTGATGTGCACACTGCGGGTGTTTTCATCAGCTTTCATTTGCTGCCTACATAAGTGAATTTGTACATATTGTTTAGCGATGCATAGAGAAATCTGATGATGACCACGATTTAGTCATTTTATGCTTAAGTGACCCTAATTGGTGACCAGCCGATTGGAAAGTAAATATCTCCAGCCCAGTCAGTGAATGCAGAATAAATAAGCCCAACAAGAACGCACGGACACTATGAGGACAAAGCTCAGTTAGGAGGTTTCAGTATTAGTGTGTGGGGTTTAAAAATAAAGTCTGAGGTGACAAATAAAATATCAGGAAATAAAAGGAGGCGTTTTGGTTTAACATCCAGGATGAGAGTCCAAGGGGAGAAATATCAGTAGACATCAGTTGGAGGAACATTTTAGAGAAACAGTGTTTTTAAGCATTTTTAAAAGGTCAAATGTTGTGTCATGGAACATGCTGGGTTAAATAAGATGTTGGGAACACTGTGGAAATATGACAATTTAATGGTGTACATGGTCCATAGGGAATACCCCCAGGGACTAAATGGTAAAAGATTGTTTAAAATGTCATTGCTAATCATGTCGTCTTTGTGGCGAAGTTATCGTTAAATTCCGTTTTACTTTTAAAATGTGAAATGCCCACAGTTCTTACACCCGAGGTGAGGTCTAATTTGACCGTATAAATAATTATTGATCTATTACAGAATCTCTGCATAGGACTCCTTTGTACTTAAAAGCAAACAAATAATTTGATAAATTATCATTAAACAAACTGGACATAGCTTATCTTTCAGACCAAAAGGCAGAGAACCATAAGTAGCAATAATAAAGAAAATCTGTTTTCTTTATTCATACCTCTGTGACCCATAAGATAAACAATATCTTGAACTCTGAAACCTGAAACTGTTACAAAAGAAAACACTCTTTACTCAAAAGTATTTGATTGCCAGTAGTCCTAGTTAGAATTATATACAATTTATTTATAATCTTAATAAAAGCCTAACTTAATCATATACTCAAGTTTATTTCTGCCATTACTTTAAACCTTGTGAGTCAAAAGTGTGGTCTGGGGCAAATTGTGGCCCAAAGGAGGATTTTGAGACCACTGACCAGAATTCCACAACAAGGTAGAGATGGTTTGCCAGCCAAGGCACAGGTATGGGCAGTATTTCTAATACAAGTATTTGAAATACATATTTCAAATACAAAATACGAATTTGGCACCTCAGCCATCAAGTCCCTGTGATACCAGTCTCAACCACTAGGGAATCTTGGCACTGTTTCACACTTGCTATGGAAACATTGCACAATCAACACAAAACGCTTTATATTAGATTGAATCAGGCATCTATCTACTTGGTGCTTTGTCCGGACCAGTCAAGGAAGTCAAAGCAAGGTGAGCAACCAAATATACCTAGTTTATTTCACTAACACATTTATACTCAACCATGAATCACTCTTTGTACTGCATGTTCCTGTTTAGTGTAGGGATGGAAAGGTTTATGAAAACCGTCCGAACCGTTCGGTTCGACTGTCTCGGTTCGGTTCGCGTGTGTTGCGTTGGGTTCATGTGCTGCTCCTTTTTCTCATAGGCGAAGCGTTTACACTCCAGAGCAGAAGGTGGCA